AACATAAGTGCATTCCAAAAAAGTTCACTTTTATCGACATCTTTTTTAACGTAACAGACTATTTCACTTCTTCGGACTAAAGAGATTTCATGTCATTGTAAACCATCCTTTTTAAAGAGCTGATTTATTGAATTTCGTAGAGATTTTCACAGATTATCTGCGACAAAAAACTAAGGTCAAAGCATCAAGTAATAGGAGAGATATTCACAAAATGCCGAGAGGGTAGTACTTTATATAGAAGAAATAAAAAAATGTCTTTGGTAAAGTCTTTTTCATTTGTTTATCAGCATGATATTTTGACATATTTAAAGATTTTTTCTCTTCGTAGTAATGAGTTTTTTTTAATTTATTTAATATTCTTAACGTTTCAGACAATAACATCGTCCTTTAGCAGAAGACAATGTACGAAACAGAACATTTTTCTTTTATGCATCTATATACTTCGATGATTCATTTCGTTCTTTTTCTTTTCTATAACAGTGGTACGGGCAAGAACTCACTGGCCTGGTATGATAAAGGTGAATTTTTCGTCGTCCGTATCACTATTACAGAAAAAAAGAACAGAATGAATCACCGAAATATATAGATGCATAAAAGAAAAATTTTCTGTTTCATACATTGTCTTCTGATAAAGGACGATGTTATTGTCTGAAACGTTAAGAATATTAAAGAAATTAAAGAAATTAATTACTAGGAAGAAAATCAATCTTTAAATATGTCATTAACAACCTTCCTCAATTGTAAGCAAGATGGTAATTATTTATATCTGCTGCAAATTGAGTGCAATCATTGTCGAAAGGTAGCTTAGATCTCGCACTTCAATTACATGTGCGCAATGCCTTTCCACCTTCGAATAAGGCAAACATTAAAAAAATAAAAAGCAGGAGGGAGAGTTGATACTTATCAAACTCCCTTTATAAGAATATAATTTTGAGCGATAAGTCGTTTCCTCTTGATGTTATAAGTTCCTGTGACGAAATCAGAAAACGATGTTGTATTCTCCACTTTAAAAGAACTGGGCGTTGTCGCACTCATTTCATCATCAAGAAAAGCGTTAACTTAACTGTTGTTATTTTGTTCATATTATGTGGGCAGTAAGTAGTAGGTTATGGAATACAAACGTTGTGTTGAGTATCATTTTGTTTTTTACATCTACCATCACTTCTTCACCTTCAGTGTTTACATATATGAAGGAAGTCATGCGTTACGACAGAATGAAAAAAATTAAAATAAAACACTTTCTATACGTAAAAGCACACAAAACAAACGACCATGGTTGTATGTTCGATCTTTGCGCAAAAACCTATACGAATGACTGTAACAACAGTCAGAGACAATACATCGATTATAAGTCAATACATGGATGAAGTGTATAGGTGCTGTACTGTTTGGCTTCGAAAAATTACAAAAATATTAAAATTATTCAAATTATCGTTTAATTTTATCACTAGAAAGAGCATCATAAATTACAGAGAGCCCTACTGTTTTTATTTTGCCAAACTTTGAATAATCGAAGTGTGCCTGATTATTTCTAACATAAATGTTCGGTATCCAAATTAGTTATATCTTCCACTACAAGAGTTGATCAAACTTATATAAAGTTTAATTCACCTTGACCGATCTTTCGTAAGATTCAGTTTCTAAAGTGTGCTCTTCCGAAAACGAATAAGGATGTGGATGTGGGTGTGCGACTATGAATGTATGGATGTAGATAATTTCTTCATCCACACCTACAAATCACCCACATCCTGATGCGACATGTCGGTACAAATATAGCATTTCTTGATCTATTTATCAAAGATCAGAATGGGATTCTAACAACGTCAGTGTACCATAAAGAAGCAGCTGAGCCCTATATCATATCATTGAAACTGATCGTCCTCAACATGTTTTTATGAATATTCTTGATGTTGTTCTTCTAAGAGCATCACACTATTTATGCACATTATTAACTTTTGACGAAGAATAACATTCTCCAAAACATGTCACTCTATCATGAATCAATTTTCCTCTCTTTCCTTCTTATTTTAATTCTTTATTTTTGAATAGTCATCTACTAAGTTATATACATCGCTGGTTTCATAAATTTTTGTCAAAACAGCTATCAATACAATCAAATTTGCCATCAATTGACAATGAAAGTGACTTTCTTATTATACATCGTTGTTGATTGAACAAGTCCACAATTACTGAACATAAGATAGCCTCAGTAATTGCAGAACATGCTCATCTAAACACGAACAATCAAATGTTTAATAAATTTAATTCATATCGAGTAAATAATGAACCGAAACCGATGAGAAATATCATTATTCATGATACATATGAAGCAGGATTCCAAGTTGTAAAGAGAGATATACACCAAATATAGAACTACATGTACATCTTCAATACAACACTGATCTCAAACACAAAACTCATTGTCGGGAATGGGAACACTCTGAACATGACAGAAGAACTAGCGCATAGACATTCAAATAATAGGGCACCAGTTGTTGCTGAATAGAATGATCGTCAAAAAGTACTATGTTATTGTTTGTTGCGACAACACTAAGATAAAAAATTTCCATTTTATAATCATGCATTTTTTTCTCTTGCAATTATTTGAATAGATACTTGATAGAATATAAAAACTTCATCTTAAGTGGAACTTTCCGAAACAATAGGACTGAACAGAATGATGATTTACAACTTCCTGTCTATGGTACTTAGATTCGCTCATACTAGCCATGGAAGCCAATGTCACACCGACATCATGTATAACCAAGCTACGCCATAAAGCATTCATTTTGTGTTGAAAATATGAAAAATTTTCATGAGACTGGCCAAACTTCTTTAACCATGAGCATTGAAGATCAGCAACTCAGAACGAGTACAAAAAGATGCGGGAATTCATCAAAATTAGACTATCCACAATAAGCGCACCAGTCAATGTGCAAACTACTTAAAAGTGCGTCGCCAAAAGAATTATGGGAACTAAAATATCACGTTCCAACTGCTATGGTCAGTTGCAATGAGCCAGATTATATAAAAGAATATCGATATGCCATACAAACGATTTCCCTTCTCCTAGCATGCCGCTCAGCAACACGATGACAGTCAATTATAATTTACTCTACACCTAAAAAGAACCATAAAAGCTTTTGGTAGATTATCCATCGTCTCTACACTCGTAATATCACTCGAAAAGATACATGTTCTCTAATCGTCTAATGAGATTGTAGAGCAAGATCGAAGGGCACCATGGCATGTGTGACATACCCACACCGCACACCTGCCGAGATTCTTTGCCAAATACAAACGCATTGTGGTAATGTTACTTGATATTTCTTGTCTCTATGTAAACTTAATTGATTCTCAACACACATCCACACAAAAAATAACGTTAGAAGAAATATTGGTAGCTCTAAGTAGAAGTTAGAAATAGTCAAACGATGAAAAAAGAACTCAAGACAGCAGTTGCAATATTAACAGGTCTATAGAAAAGTTTTTAAATTGTCAGCACCTTCGTTGGTGACGACGAAATCCAACTTTCCATCATTGTCTAAATCACCAATGGAAATCGCGAAAGGAACAGATCCATAACCAGTTGAAAACTGGACACTTGCGAAGGGGTCATTCCCATATCCGAGCAACACACCTATGTTGTTTGTGCCATAATTGGCGACTATAATGTCTAGCAAGGTGTCGTTGTTGAAATCGCCAACAGCAACTGCATTCAGTTGAGCGTTATAACCAGTCGTAAACGTTTTTTAGTTTGAAAAAAAAACCATTATTCTGTCCAAGAAATACCCCAACATTGCCATTATTATGATTTGCGATGTCTGGGCGAATCATCCTCAGAAAAACTTGAATCAGGCACTAACTTCACTTTCATTATAATACCTAGTAGTTCCTTGAGTTAAAGATAATTACTTTCCATTAAGACATTTCAAAGTTATGTAGTGGCATCTATGTTTGCGAAATCAATAATTAGAAATTTGTAAGAAAAAACCTTTGTTTAATAATTTTATATGCCGTTGGTATACTATATAAATAAATAATCTGACGGAAGAGTATCTCTTGCTCTCATGTAACTGGTGAATGGGTTACAAGTTTGTTCTTATCAAAACGTACTACTCAAAAAACATCACTGATGACTTTCACGTGACATATGTTGTGCTTATTTCTTTCTTCCGACTCGAGAAAAGCAAAAAGAGTAGCAGCTGTAGAGAGAGAAAAATAACGTTTTTTTAACTTTTTCTATTTTCTCCCTTGTATCATCATTCTATTTCCATAACATGCAATCGCTGTGAAAAAATCCAACTCTTGTTCGAAAATATTTCTCATTTCAATCGTAGCTTGCATTGTCATCAAAAGTTTTACATTTGTATCCGTGACTATTAGTTATGTAGTAAAAGGTTTTCCGAACAATCAAAAATGGTATTGTATACTATCGTTTCATGTAGCTTGTGACTGTAAATTTAAGTTTGATAGGTGCAATATTTCAAATGTATTTTTATAATAGCGCACACAGTTGATAATGATCGCCAAAAAGTCTCAAAATCGAGTATTCAACCAGCAGTAGACGATTGTGCTGATTTGCCCTAGACTTTTTTCATGTATTTGTGAAGATATTCATCCAGAATATTGAGCTTTATTGTTGTATTGTTTCATCATTATAGATCTTTTAACCTGTGTTGTGTTAGATTGTTTTTCAAGCATAATTGACTGTAGTATTTAGCAATTTACAGTATATTTTTGTCTGAAAACTTTAAGGAGCACTATGCATATTGTATTATAATCTTTAGTCACATTTTCAACTGAAAGCGGTAAAACGATACATAAGCATACAAATGTTTGTACGTTAGACTTCTTTTTTCCTATTGAATAGTAAATAGATTGAAGTGATTTCTTTGTTCTCTAGAGTAAGTGTATGCTAGTAAAAAGAGTTAAACAAATCAACTAGATGAGAACCATAAAATATTGCTATGTAATATTATATTTATTCTAGATCAACAATGGCACAGTCTGACATCCATTTAGTACGTCCTGCTAATGAAGACGGAAATCATACACCAAAACATTTTATCATTTGGCTAGATAAACATATTGGAAAACCTGACGAATGTATCCTGTTAAAATGTTCCTTTTTCATGGCAATAAATCCGACCAGTGGCTTGTATGAGAGAAGTCTTAACCCAGATGATATTGACCGTAGTATTCGTCTAGAAATGAGCCTTATCGTGCGACTTGATGAAGTTGAATTCATGTTTCAAGCTTTCGAAGATGTTGAAAAATGTTTTCATACCATCGAAAAAAATCGTAATAAATGTATATTTTTTATTAGTTCAGGTTCAAAAGGAAGACTTATTGTACCAAGTGTCGTCGCAAATTTTCCGGACACTTTTGTAGTAGAACATTGGATGTATATCTTTTGCGCCAATATGAACATGACACAAGTTAAGGATGCTGATCCACCAACTAATACTTGGGCACTCCAATACATAGACCATGTTTTAATGTTTGATCATCAAGATGATCTACTGGCTCGTCTGCTACTGGATATTGGTCGTTATTTTTTTAGCGAGGCAAAACGTCTAGATAATAAAGAACAGCTTCATAGTGCTTATCAGCACTGTAAATGGTCGAAAATTATGTATGAACGATATGAAAAGACGGAGAAAAGAACGAAAGGTGCTGAAATCGCAGCAATCAATCAGTATATGACGAATATCGAAGAACGTCTTAATTCTAGGAATGATGATGATGACGCTGTGGGCCAATCACCTGATTGACGATTTATTGATTGTATTTTTCATTTGATTGTTTTTCAAAGAATACTTAGAGTCACTGCAATTAAATGTATTCAATTTTATATGATGCGATACTTAAGGATGTAGGTGTGAGTGAGGATCTTTTCTGCATTTACTTACACCCCACGTCCACCCCACATCCTCTTTCTTTTTTTTTCATTAGGAGATATACAAAGAACATGACTCCTGGCTTTTATATCTCCATTCGGACTCAAGCAATTTTAACATGAGTGGTGCTTGGGATCAACATTGGTCGTAGAGGATATTTACACAAAAAATTCAACTGTCTAGGTCTTATCATAACTATAATTGAGGATTGATCACAACTATTGGCCAACATTGTATTTTGATTTTAGGAAATTTTAAGTATTAAAATATAGATCGTCTTCTACTCTTTTCATTCATATAGATTCAATCTCCTACAAAGATTTGTAGAAAAAAAATAACTCTATGTAAAACATCGTCCACCAGACATTGACTACTACTGCTCATTGCTATATGATTAGTTCCACTATGACTTAACATTTAGAACATAGATTTTCTATGAACATAGTACAGGCAATGCTTGTAATTATGACACAAGTCGTGCTTCAATAGCAAACTTTATAAAATAAGTATAGGAAAAACACTGTTGTTTGAAAAATATTGTCCAGTATTGTATTTTGACTTTTCGCCATTGCAGTATTCTGATGTGACATGTATTTAACGTATTGTAGAGCTATAGACTTATTTTTTCAAATAATATTTTTCGAAAATCGAACTTGCACTCAACAAAGTCTGCAGTTATACATCTCTGCTTGTATTTGATATACTATTGCTGTTATGTGCACATAGAAAACAGATTGTCTTTTGTCTTCTCTCACACAATTTTACTAGATTATTGATCGAAGATGTTATGAGAATTTACTGATTCAAGAATGTTTTCAAATAGCTATGAGTTCTCATTCGTAAATGTAGTTACTACGTAGCCCTCAATACAACTCTCAAACAACCTGTGTGTAACATTCAGTAGAAAGACTTTCTAAAAATTCGTATATTTAGCGGCTATCCTTTTTAAAATTCCATTCTGTTTCATTAAGGCACCTATTTAAGTGCTAAGTAATTTTACATAAAAACTAAGTAAAAAATTTCATTTTTTCTAAGTAATTTATTAAAGATAAATTTGAGTAAAAAATGAATTTTTGCTAAGTATTTTAATTAAATTCTCAATGGAAAAGTTTAATTTTCTAGAAAAAAAATTAGGAATTGACAGATAAACATATAATTTTTGTTAAGTAAAAGCACAAAAATGTATAAATAAAAACTTTAATTGAATAGTTATTCGATTAATAAAGCTTATCTTGCTTTTCGTGGTCGTCCTCATTTTCTTTTTTCACCCAAAGATACATCCTTTACTGCTGGAGATTGTTTGAAAATTTTCAATATAATTGCCATATCCATGACATGTTTGCAAATACATTCTTTAAAAAGTTTGAACAATTGCAACATCCACTTTTCCATTCTGATTCAATGTCTGATAAAGTTACTTTCTATATTTCAAATTCAAGATCTTTAAATTGATTGAATGGCGTCCATTTTTTTTCTTTTGCATCTTGGGATTTCATTTTTTTGTGACATTTTCTGCCTCACCAGCTAGTGTATAGTAGTCGATAAAACCTTTTGTTTTAGATATGATAATTGTCATACTAACTTTGAGGATTTTGCAAAATAAAATGCATCACTAATGTATATATACCAAAGAATAAGAAGAGAAGAACTCACTAGAAAATGATATATGCAGAGGGAAGAACTCTCCCAAAAACAACAGAGATCATATATAATCGCTAGAGAAGGAGAAAGATAAAAAAAACATGTACTTGAGCATGCTTGAAGATAGTGTATGTGTATTCATGCACAATATCATAACGAAAGAAAATAAAGATGAAATCTACTTATATTATAGTGTCACATCAGTACTAACAGGAGGCAAGAGAAAAAATGTACAAGCCAAATCACCAACTGTCAATCGTTATCTTATCTTGCCTAAATCCAATTTATTAACAATCTTTTTATTTATCTAATATGTTTTCTTAATTATAAGACCCAATTTATTCACTAAATAATTAAATATTTTACTTGTATATTAATTATTAAACTTGGCAAAAATGTTAATTATAGAGAAATATTAATTTAATCTATCATCTAATAAATTTATTGAACATCTAACTTATTTACTGAGCATACACAAGTTTTACTTAGCACTTAAATAGATGCCTTCCATTAATGATTCCGAATAAGATTTTCACCGTTCTTCTTCACTTGAGTCCACTCTATCAAAACGTTCAGTGAAATAAAATACTGAATGCTTCGACATGTATGTCGTAAGGAAAAGTTCGATCTTATTCTTGTTTTTCTTTCAATTAATTCTTTTTTTTTCTCCACCTTTTCAACTGACAGGGTGTAATATGCTTGACAACAACAATTTCTTGCCTCTGTTGTCAACATATCTCAATTTTTTCTCTCGTTCTTCATTGCAACATTTCTAAGGTAACTTGAGCAGAAAGCAAAAGAAAAACAAGAGTCATTGGCGTCAGGTTTGTTTTTCCAGATGCTTTGTGTCTTGATACATCTTATATTTTTTTTCTATAGTTGATTTTGACTCATCGATAAGCACAAGGTCAATGCAACATAAGGCTCTATCTCATGAAAATACATAGAGATTGCCTGTATATTTTCTTTTTGTGAAACTTGATCATTAATAAGTGCTGAAGAAGAGTGTAACGAACTTGCTTCTCCCTTTTCGTCTCCCACTGACGAACTCACCACATAAATAGCCCTTACCATTAGAAAAAAATAGATTGTAAATTTTTGAATTTTCTTTTAGTTCTTAGACCCTAAAATTCGAGTAGAAAATATCGAAAATATTGAAAAATCAAGACGAAACCAAAAATCGGAAGTCTTGTTCTCCTGCCATTAATCTCCTGTATAGACAGAAACACATATCTTGACATGTGTTTTTTCATATACGCATAAATCATTGTAGAACGTAGTCCCTTGCAGTGAAAGTGATGTTCCTACAATGTTTTTGTATACAATAATAATAGTTCGATCATATTTCACATCTTCATCTCGTATCAAAAGTGATCTGCGTTTGTAGGATAAAGAAAACTGCAGCAAGAGCATTTCATATTCAATCACTGATCTGAACAACACTTTGTTTAATTATGTGAAAGGGGTTTTGCACCTATGTTCTAATTTATCTTGACCTAAGATAAAGTTGATGTTCGACTCTAAAACTAAATGCAAGTTAAGGTTCCTTTTGGAAAAAGATAAAAAATAAAATAAAATTGAATAGAATACTAATGTATTGAGTGCAGGAAAAAAAGATAATGGTCGAAGATCAACTATAAACGCGTTAAATACAGGCTGATTGTAATTACTCTTTGTTGTATATGTTGTTTTCTTGTTCTGGTTGTGTGTGAGACATAAAGCATTCAACATCTTACGTTCTTGCCAACATATTTCATACTGCTGTTTTCTACAATGCTACACACATGTATGAGTCAGTCTCCAAGGAAAAAGAAAAAGAACTAATTACAGGAAGAGTTCGCTTTTGCATCGTTCTATATAGCGTTGGTTGTTTGTGCATGCTGCCTTTCATAATCAGTGATTGAGATGGACAGTAGAATTTTAATTATTGCTCTATCCACCTCGGATAACTCAGTGTCATCATCACCTTTAATCAACTTTATGAAGAAAAATCTGCATTCGATAAGCGACCTGGTTCGAAACGATAATCAAATGAGATGCCCTTCGATTATACTAACATGCACAGTTTAACCCGCAATGCAGTGCGATAAGTTATAGAGTCCTAACCGTTCACTTTTACATCGATCTTCTGGATGCTCGAACTATGAAAAAGGTGCGTTTGTTCAAAGTTCGAGCATCTACAAAACCCATGTACACACAACTTATGGAGAAGCGAACGTTACTACTGCACACAGATTTTTCAAGCACACAAAACGTCAGACTCGTTCTTTGTTACTTTAATTGCAAGTATACGATGATGAGTATCTGAATAAAATGACTGTTTTCATGTATTTCACTGTCAATAATATGATACGTATTTTTTCATTTTCTGACATTCATTTTTTTAAAGCAGAATATGAAGAAATTTGAGGCGACGATATAGAAACATAAACATAAACAGTATAGCTTAAGACGGTGAAGGCAGTAATCTATTTGAAAAAATAACATTGTTTGATATTTTCTTCTTCAATTATTTATCTATTTCCTATCATGATCGACTGCAGAGATATACATCAAGAACTTGTTGAACTCGCGCGAAATGCTTCTGCTTAAATGTATCACTATTTGTGCAGCTTCTCCGTCCTCAATTTTTAATGCCACCAATATGGCTGTCCGTCAAACTCACTATTCTACTTCAAGCGACAAAGTCGTTAATCGTCCATAGTAATATGCACAACATCAACGAGCATTGCAGCAACATCCAGATGGATAACTTTACGGAAGAGTTTTTCATGATATTAGTTGAAGCAGCAGGTCTAATCATTGATTTTCATTCTTGAATCTTTTTATGACTGATCCACAGATTAAATCAACCTTCAAATCAAATGTGAACTCATCGTCGACTTCAAACACGAACAAATGTACCAGTAGAAATAATATCATGCAGAAAATCTTGTTCGCAACTACCCTCTTACTGTTCTATGAGCTCATGAACGATTTTCTCAAGGATTTCTGCTGAAATCATTGTCTTACAGTGGAAATGATGGATACGATGGCGAAGAAAGTGGCCGTCTTCAGTTCGACGAACCGATAGAAGAATGAATTCGCCAACAATGTTATACATTCTGCATAACCTTCAGCTCTTTCCTTCGAATTTGTACGCGTATTTATGCGTAAATCGGAAAAGCCCTAAGATATCAAGCAAACATAGTAGTAATAAGACGTTCACACTGACTGTAACAATCAAGTTTGGAGTGAAAATGCTGGCGCCTGACTAAATCCTAAGATGCGTCCTTAAGTTAAATGTAAGTTAGATGAAAGAGTCTTCATAAGAAAGAAAAAGAGTGATATACTTTAGTGCGTCCTGATCACGAAGAACAAATCAGTGACAGGCTGTTCTGATAGAACGAATACAGAGACAAAAGCATAACAAATACTACACAAATAGTAGTAGATTTGATAGACAGAGAACTGATATTCTTTGTCTTTATTACGAGATGAACTTTTATGAGACTTCCAAGAACTGACTATTTTGTGATTATAAACTTCACCATTTCATCCTCAAGATTCAATGGTACACGATTGAAAAATATCTAGTTTTCAGTTGAGAAACTGTTTGAGTCACATAAAAGTTCGTAGAGAGGAAATCTTATTATTTTTTTTCTTTCGTGCAAATGTTTCTTCATAACGAAACACTAGGATAATCTAAAATCTAATGAGATATATTTCAGAGAACACTCGACTCTATTTTATGTAATTTTATTTTGAGTTCATTGAATTCTGCAAAGTTTTTATTTGAAATAAATTTCAGTCATATATTTTTTTTTAATATAAATTCTTTACTGTGAAGAGTAAACTCGATTTCAATTAGATAAATTGGATAGATATGATTTTCTTCTTTGAAAAAAACGAAATCAATGAAGAAGTAATATCTTTTTTTCCTATTTTGTAGAAGTAATGATTCGATCACGCTGTCCTCGTCCACAAGAAAAATCCGAATCAATTGAATATCATATATCCAATTCACAAATATCATTATTATTATTATCGTCAGCACCAAAAGCATCTAAGAATACTTCGAATAAATTCTCTCGACATTCACGTCCAACTTTATTTACATTTCCATCAAATGCAACACTCAAAGAAATTTTATCAGACAAAGATTTTATTGATCTAGCTTCGAAACATTCATCAATATCAGTAATTACTACAGATGGTGATAAACAGGAGAATGATGCTCATTTTGAATTAGATGGAAAAATATTAGATGAAAATCAACAATTTTCAACATTTGTTTCAAAAGAATCATTTCTATTAGTTATTAATAATAATATCAAATTAAAATTTCATGAAACAAAACGTATTCAACCAAATATTGCAACCATAAATATACATCGTAAAGATTTAATTCGTCGTCTTCCAATTGAAAATGGTCAACGAGTAGCATCTAGTGAGCAACTTAAATATCCAAATGAAAGTTTAGATTTATTATTTGATACATTACATGGTGAATTGATCTATTTAACTGAATATTTACAAAGTCATTTTGGTGAAAGACATCAATTTACAACATATCCAATACAACAACAACAACAAACAATATCTGATGAAAAACAATGGAATGAATGGGAAACAGGTTTATATAGAATGCATGGAGATCAAGATGATACAGTCAATATCGCTGTAGTTGCAGATTGGTATGTCGATTGGTTCTTATTTTATAATGTTTATTCATTGATTTTTTTTTCTATAGGGGTGCTGGGACAATGGAGTCTGCACTTGTTGCTCGTGCAATGATGAATGGTTTAGATTTAACTTTTCAACAACAAAAAGCAACACATAATTTACCACATTATTCAATTCATTTAGGTGATATTTATTATGTTGGTTTACCAACAGAAATTGAACATTGTTGTCTTGGGATAAAACCACATTGGGCAGATCGAGGTGTTCGATGGCCTATCGGACAAAATGGTAGTTTTACAATTCCTGGAAATCATGAATTGTATAGTCGTGGCTTTGGTTATTGGGATTATTTTTTACCAAACGTTGGTTTATTCAATCCAGAAGATTTAACATGTCCTACACAAGCACAGAAAACTTCCTATTGGGTATTAGAAAATGATCAATGGAGGATAATTGCACTTGATACTGGTTACGATTCATATTCATTATTAACTATTGATAATCATTCAATTAAATTACCATCAGAATTAATCGATTGGTTAAAAACAGTTGTTGGTCTTAATCCACAAATGACTGATAAACGTGGTTTATTATTTTTCTCACATCATCAAGTTATTAGTGCTTGGAATGAAAAACCAAATACAGGTTAATATTCAGTGTCTATTGAGTTGTTTTCACCACATATTTAGATGAATTAAAAATGAAACTTTAATTTTCATCTACTAGTAACTTCTAAGTTAGTAATCTAAGTAATTTCCCAATTCATTTGTTCGATCATGTAGACGCTGGTTTATCCATTCGAAATCATCGTTTTCTACATTATATTTCAACACAAGTTTAGTTTATTTTGTTTCATCGGATAAAGTGTTGTGCTAAGAAATTAGTTATTGGTATAAGGAAAGATCATTACAGCAATTTTAGACTTGTTATATGTTGTTCACAACATACGAAGATGAACATTTTACGTTAATAATAAAATTTCTTGTCCTATATTTAGATTTTCCTGATCAAATCGCATCATTATTACCAGAGGGAAAGACAGTTCTCTATTTATGGGGTCATGAACATCGGTTGAGTTTTTATGAAAAACAAACGATTGAACCAGTGATAAATTCAGGTAAAAAATTAACGTTCTATGGTCGATGTATTGGTAATTCTGGTTTTCCGACATTGGCAACAGAACTTCCGGTCAAAGCTCGTGAAACAAAATTATTATTTTATGATGATCGATTATTTAATGTCGAAGGTGATCATGCTTGGACAGATATGGCATTAGGTTTTAATGGATTTGTTACAATGAAATTTGTACGTCCGAAGCAATCAGGTGATACAAGCTTATATTTAACTTATAAAAGTTTAAGTTTGAATGAAAATGGACACTTAACAGATGAAAACCCAACTATTTTGGTTAATGAAGAATGGTCTGTTGATTCAAATGGAAATGTTATTCTTAATAAAATAGAACCAATCAATCAAGAAATTACACAAAGTCTACACATTGCATTGAGCGGACAACAATCACCATCAAATGTATCAACTTGCTGTACAATCTCATAAAATAATGATTATATCCTATCCCAAAAAGTGCATAAAACTGTAAAAAAACTGATACATAAGATTCATTATTTCCTTGTTAAGTTCATATCGAGAGGGTATGGGTGGGAAACAAGAACCACATCCTATCATTAAGACATTTTTCACTAGATTTATCAGTTTGAAGGAAATTATAAAGATAAATTTGATTCACCATGCATTGTTTTTCTATAACTTATTGAATGTTACCTTTTAAATAATCTAGCGAATTTTTTAGACCTCAAAACGCAATTACATCATTTGACAATAGTTTGTATTTTTGTCGATCGGATACAAAAAAACACTATCAATAATTAATTTCTAGATTTTAAATTTATGAATAAAAAATTAATTAATTAGAAAATAAAAACCAGCTCTATTTATAAGCATTTATTGAACCAATCTTCGAGTTGATTATTTCAATTATATTTAATATGATCTATTCATATATCATTCTGAAATTCTTTTTCCCAATGTCGATTACGATCTTAACAAGATTGTTTTATTTGATATTTATTAATTGATGGTCATGAATAATAATCAATCAGATAGCCAATAAGACGATTACAATCATTAGCATATTTTAAAGGTTCTTGCATATGACAATACCATATAATATCGATCTTAATATAAAAAATCTTTCATCAGATTTTTTAATCGTTTCATTACTGATGAGTTTAAATGGATCAAAATTCCAAAAATCCATGTACTTGTTTCAAAAGATATACTTCATAAAATGTTTGCATAGGTTTATCCAATTTGCATCAAGAACAATATCAGCTTTTGTTAATGAAAATGGGTTTTCAAAATCATTTAGAGAATATCATGAAAATTGAAAATCTGTTGTGTTTGCCAAACTATCTCAATATCTATCGTTGACATCAGAACTTTTTTAGGATATAAAACTTTTAATTACATCAATGGATAATATCGTCTAACCATTTGTTGTAATATCACTGATTAACGTCATATCTGTTGAAATTTTCAAGCTGTTTCTAATATTAATATCAATACATGAGCAGTTCTGTCAACATCAACTGATAATTGAATAGTCCTATAGCAGATAATTAAAGTTAGAATGAATCAAACTTAACTTAAATATCGAATGATGAATTTTGTTTTTTGATTGGACAAGATGCCAAGAAGGTGAATATTTCAATCCACAACCTATATTCATTTTTCGATATTTTCTCTCAAGTCTTTCTAATTCTTGATTTCGAAGATATTTTTCAAAAATTCAATCAATATAAATTTGTTTATATGATTTTGAATTGAATTCTTTTGATACTATTTTTCACATTTAAATGAATTTCAATAAACAAGATAAATCTGACTTACTATTGCATCTTGTTTTCTATATAGTATCTTGATCAACAACCATCATTTTAAACTATCAACAAACTAATGAAACATTTCCTACATCACATCCTGAGAGTAATCCACATATTTTGAGCATCATTTCAGTAGGCATATTAATAAATGATGAATTTAATGATGCCTCTTGTACTTCATCAAATATTTACGGATGTTTCCAGATTATTTTTCGAGCAAAATCTTGTAATTTTATATCAAACAGACAAAATATTGAGATAGGATTTTATAGTAAATTATAGATGATCAACAGTGTTCATACAGAATACCGTCATATGAGTAACTTATGGACCAGCTCCGAAGACCTAATGGAACAACAACTTTTCAGACAAAAGGCTGTTCTTTTTTGCCGAATTCTTTTTCTAGTTCTCATCGCTTACGATAGACATAATCTAAACGTTTGAACATTATTCAAATACTTTTCTAATCATATATTTCTACACATCGCCAATAAAACACAAAGAACACAAGAGAAATATGTCTCTTTATATAGATTGCCAATAAAATATGGCTTCTTAAGCGTACAACTCAATTTTTGTGATTAATATTAGTATAGACAGGAGCTTACTCTCTTTGAAATTGGTTCGTCCACATGAACATAGAAGAGATAGAACATTTTTCATCCTTTTGTATTTCCGTACAATTTGTATGAATTATAGTCATTTGATCATATATCGCAAGATAATTACAGAGGAAAAAATGTGTAAAAGAAAGAAAAAAATGCAATCAGTAGTTTTTTTGTTTGTCTCCTTTATGATTAGACATTCAATTAGCGTTGGTTTTGTTTGTTTTTTCCCTTCTTTTTTCTATCTTTTATCTATCAAATAAGTGACATAATAGTTAGTGATCAGAATATTATAAAGGACGGAACGTTTGTGCTGTATTAGCTATAAATATGATCACGACTTTTGCAAGTTGATCCCTAATTGTGATCCTAAGTTCATTTGATGTTTCATAATTTTAGAAAAAAAAATATTGATCGAACAATTATGAAAGTTATTCCATGAATAGAGATGAATTGCGATCAATGTATCGTTTGTTATATCTTCAACTTCGTCTTCTATGCTCTTTCTTTATTAATATTTTGCAAATAAGTTTATTCAATTTTTTGAGAAAAAACAGATAAGAAAAGTACTTATATTCAATTGTTTCTTTTTTTTTGTAGTAGAATTCACTAACATACATACAATAATAAAGTTACACCGATTAGTATATACTAGCATGTTTTATCTCAAAATCTTTAGTACGTTGAGTAACTCATCCGTTTTAATATATAACAATTTTATGGCAATAAAAACAATATGAAATCAATGTCGTTTAGATGAATAAGAAGACTCTTCTTTTAATATTGACTCATATCAGATCATAATAAAAGCACTGATATTTTCATGTTTCTCATGTTGATTAACATCAGTTTTGTTTGTTCTATAAACAAAACAAAGCTTTTTATTAGACGTTGGGTTTCAATAGTATGTTGAAAGTTTTCATTTTTGTACGAACTTGGTGGTAGTTTACATGTTAAACAAAAGAAAAAAATAGTTTAAAGTATTGCAGATAATACAATAAGGTTTGAAGTCATATAGAGTTCTACTTTGTGCTTAGAATTTATTTTTTCAGAAATTTTCTACAACGTTGTCACATGTTGGACTATTTTCATTCATTGTTGAGCTACCAAAAGCAATAAGAAAAAGGATCGATTGATGAAACGAGCTCGAATAAAATATTTCATGATAATGCATTATTAACAGTAGTCGATGGACAGAAAATCAGTTCGTTAACCAATAATTTGATCGTGTAAATACTGATAGGAGATAATTTATTATTTTGCGTGATTCTAATAAGAAGATAGAGTACAGAACATTGATCGAGAATGACCACAGTAAATAGACAGTTATCGATATCAGTTTGTCGTGGTCGAAGACATATCTAACTAACTAACGAACAAAAGTTATTAGAAAGATCTATAATGAAAAGTACGCGATCAGAATCAAAACTATGTGGGATGTGCATTATTTCTTCGTGATGAAAATTTTCAACAATGAATGGCATTTAATAGTGCCCAAGGTTGTTTTTTTTTAGGATGGAGCTGTGGGTGTAGAAACGGACTGAATCTACACCACATAAACACTGTTCGATTAGTAGCTAAATGCTTGATTTTTGACTCACAATCTTGACCTTGATCGAAACAGAGAGCACTTTTTAAAAAAAAGCCGTTCAATTTGTTTTGATGAGTGTGGATATGAGTTCCTCTTTGAGTGTTGGCTACCTTGGCTTGCATTGCAGCAACTTAGTCTATAACTGTAAGTTCTGATTTACTGATTGAGTTCTAGTCTATAGATACAAAGATAGAAATTCGTTTTTTTCACAGATCAATATTTTTCGAAGCTGGTTCCGGTTCCACTGATTTCTAATATGGTCGCTCATCAATGGCAAAAATCATAACAATGACAAGTGTTTGTCAAATAGGTCATTTTATGTCGTTGACTGTCAGATAAATATGACAAGAAACTATGTTATTCTTCAATGATCTGTGAAAAGGTGATCAACCATACACGGTGTTTGAACAATGAGCACCAATGGCAATTTCTATTCGGCACAAATTGAAGAGAGAATGTTGATTTATTTGAAATATCACTGTCTGAATACCATCTTGTTTTAAATATTCATGGAAGAGAACAATTATAGATGAATCTCAGACAAAAAATAATGACTGTCTATTCGTTTATAATTTTCATTTGGTTGTTCAATGATGAATTGCAAATTATCAGCCATTCCCATAACGAATTTCGTATCATGAAACTCTTTTTGCTTGAATCTAACATAGAAATGAATAGATGTAGTTCCTTGGGGAATTGTTCCATCGATCGATTTCTTGATCATTGATGTTTTGTTCTTGCGCTCGTTGTTGGTGACTGGATCTATCAAGTACCGGACAGAATATATTTGATAGATAACGCATTTAAACAAAATATAAATATTGAACTTACCAAGGTAAACATTACCGATATAAGAACTATCACTTTTGAACTGAATATCGATACGCGCTGTATCTTCGATGTCATCAATGCCACCTAAATCTGCATGAACAGTGAATTTCGTTTGATAGTTATCAAATAATCGTGTCAAGTGAGAAACATCTATAATTTGTTCAATGGCATTGTCAAATAAGGATGTGTAACGTTTTCCACCGAAAAACAAACACTGACCACCGTGATTATCACCGATAATTTTGCTTCCAGTCATATTATAAAGCCATTGGAGAACGCCTCGCTGTTCCCATCCTGGTATCTTCATTGGATTAAAATGGCTTCCATTACATTCTTCTTCAGCATCACCATTCTTTAACAAATTCATTCCGAATCGAAATGATGTCACGAATGAGCCATTGGGTAAAATTGAATTGATTACAAATACTTGATTCTGATACGAAATCAAGTCGACATTTGATTTGTACATATTTACACGATTAAATTTAGCTGTTTTTTGAACAGTTACGTTGAAAATATCACACCGCTCCATTTTGATATTATCCAAAAGGATGTTTCTCAATAACACGTGATGAAACAGTGTACTACTCAAGTCGGACTGGTGATCGATGATGATACTGTAACGGACTGAGGTTGACGTAACGCCTTGAAAAGACGCATTTCTCATTCGAACATTTGACACGAGCAATTGATTGAAAAAACTAACGTTAACAAAACTTGCTCGATCAAAAATTGAATTTTCTATTTGAAAATCTGGAAATCGTGTATTAATGAATGTTGAGCTACTGAAATCACAATTGTACCATATTTCATTTCCTGTCGAAATTTGGCTTCCAATAAACACTGCATCTCGAAACATGCTTCCGTAAATTTGTTTCGTTTTGAATTGAACATCGATGAAATTCGAACGATAAACAATGGCATCCTTGAAATTTACATCAATAAGAATAACATTTGTGAAATTTGTCTCTGTCAACTCACAATTTTCGAATGTTGAACCAGTTAAATTCACATTTTTAAATGATGAATTTCGTAAACGAGTATGCGCTATGCGAAGTCCATTAAGATTCATCATTCTCATTGAATCACGTTCGTCTGAACGACCGAATTCACAGTTGGATAAATCCAGACCATCTAAATCGACAGAGTGATAGTTCGTGTTCCCAACATACTCGTTTGTATATAACAAGCGGCTCTCATATAATAATTGGATGAGATACATTTTTCGTTTTGGATCCATCTGTTCCGCTGCAGTCAATGTTCTTGCCCTTAAAAATATCAAATCAGATTCTGTTAAGTCTTCATTTGATATTCGAAGAGTCTCTTGAGTGTCTGTCAAAAATTTGTCATAAATTTGTTGCATGCGAAGCTCAATGGCATGTGCATCATCACGTCGTCGTTCCATATCGATGTTCAACTTATCATCCATGCGACGTTGATATTCAGCATCACGAGTTAATTGAGAATTTCTCGAATCATGTAGTGTTTGTATTACTGTAAATGCACCAATTATCAACGGGACTAGTATGGCCGAAATAAGTTTGAGAAGTTGAGTGACTAGAAAACATTTTGTCCGAGGTTTTCGATTGATAATCCATTTTTCGAGAGGAATTGACGCATGATTGTTGCTCGATTTTTGTAGTTCTTTCAGCATTTTCATATGTTGTATGGAGTCGGATGATGATCGAAATCTCATTTTGTCAGAAGTTTTGGATGCTAGAAGAATATATTATCGTTACATCACAAAGTTTCTGTCACATTGCTATTAGACACACGAGGCTCCTACTTCAGTATTATTAAAGCCAGTTGAAGGAACCAAAACAAACAAACGAATTGAAAGCTTTAAAAGCTAGTGGTGACAAGAAAATTTATCAAAAATGAATAAAACCATAATAAGAAAACGAAAAGATTCCATATTCTAGAATAAAAATTTCTACTATATAGGTTTAAATATCCGAGATGATGTAGGCTATACGTATGGCTGAGAATAAGAATGAGGATTGACAGTGGCAGTGAGCGCGAAAAATCTTCTTGCGCATAATCAAAATCTACGGCAGGGTTTCTTGCATGTTTCATAAAAATCTCATTTATAAAAGGCTTCGCATCGTTATGGAAAGAGATCCTGTACAATAGTGATCTCCTTTCACATGATGCTAGAATTGTCATCATCTTAATGTAAATAAAAGAAATGTGAAAAAAATTCTTGAGAACGAAGAAGAAAAACGTATTTAGTCCGATGAAAGACATTGAAATACTGCAATCATTCTGAATGCTCGTTGTAAACTATTATTTTTTCATTTATGTGCATAGGCTGTTATAGAACTATAACTTGGACGAACATAAGGATCATGATTGATTGATACCTAAAAAATTGACAGGTGTCACCATGTTGTAATTCAAGTGCCTATATCAAGAATTAGTTTGAGTAACAAAAAATATTGGTTCGATACCAATGAAAAAAAAGGTAAATACACAAATATTGTTTCTATTGTCATGTTTGTCACATATGTTGCTCTGTTTGGACAAGTATCTTGATAAAAGTACTTGAATTGAATGGTTACAAATTATAAATTTTTAATGATTAAATGAATCATATCTAAGCAGTCCTTCTGTCCTTGCTATCATTACACTCTTAGAAAACAAGTGCATTGATCACTAACACATATCGATGGTATTTACTCAAGATCATATTCAATATCCTTGTTTATCATAATATAAACCTTCAATTGTCATTTTTATTTAGTAGAATACGAAGAGCTGCCAAGAGTCCTTGCGTTTTCAGGTGTCTACGTTTCTAATTCTGATCTTTACCAGAATATTACATGACACCTTCGTGTTTATTAGAAATTCGGCGAAGAAATTCTTCGAATAACATTAGTTCTTAATGTTCAGAGAACAAGTTAAGTTCATGAAATAACAACAATCATCTGGCATAGTCAAGAAATAAATTATCTTGATGCATATTGGCAGTATTGTCCACCGTCAATGACTAAACTGAGATTAAAAAGCGATTGAGCGTGATCACGATGATCAAGTAGTTTTTTGAGCAATTCTTGTGTTCGCTTGTATTTAATCGATTTAGTCGTAAGGGTCAAAACCCTAATTATTTCGAATCCTTCATGGTTAGCTGATCAGTATAATTTTTTAAGTTATGAGAAGATCTTTTCTAATTTATTCTCTAAAATTTATTTGATGCGATCGTATTATCAGAATAGTTCATCTACAATCAATATAAATAATCGTGAAACAGTTTAATGCCGTATTCTTCGTTTTCTCTATTTAAGATTATAATCTGAATCAGTTTGGTTTGAATAAGTTTCTTTGTTAATTTTTTCTGTATCGAAAGAAACTTAGGCAGTTAAAAACAAAATTAATTACGAAACGTGAAAAATAAAAGATTTTATTTAACAATCTGTTCTATTGTTTTCAATATCAAACAAATTGAAAAATTCATCGATTTCTTCTTTCAAATGTTGATTCATTTCTAATACTTGCTTAACCAAGGGTTTCATAGTACGTTGAAATACTTTTGTGAATATTTTTACCAAATCATGAACGAAGGTATATAGGAACTGTAAAATTCGATGTTCTTGTTCATTGAAAAATGTTTGAGCATATTAATACAGTGCATTGAAGTAATTCTTTGATCATCAAAAGGCTTCACTGGAAGGTATCATTCATATAACGAATAAACATTAGTCACGTCTTGATATGATTTATTTTCTGCAAGAAGGTGAAAAAGTTTTGTCCAATCATTTGTTGGAAGATCATTATGAACTACAAGTAGTGATGTAACAAGTGTATTGATTTGTTGAAGATATTTAGTACATGCTTTCATAGCTGTTATTGAATTTTTTCCATGAGATGCATCAAAATCAGCAATAACCAAAATTGAAAATGACACATCTAATATACCAATACTCAAATGAATGTAAGATATCATTAAATTAGTTATAGCAGGTTGAAGATCACAATTTCCCTAGTAAATAAAGATATAACAAATGAGAAAATAAGTAGCAATAGTAGATATGATGAGATATAAAAATACCAATTGTTGAGAGAAAAGGACAAATCTTACACTTTTATACTTATTTCTCAAATTATCATATCTACGATCGATTAAAATGGATTGCATTGAGTTACTTTCATCTTCATTCACAATATTATCCATGTTGATTCATCATATTTTATTTACATTTAATAGGAAATATCACCTCTCTCTTATACTTATCTACAATTCAAAATACACGTCGTTATAACACTAACGATATAGGAAGAATAGAAATATATTCTCTTAGTTGTTCGAAGTTGAGACACAAGTTTTAAATGTTCTAACACTGGTAAGATTCTCTTATCTCAAGCCATTCATTCATTTTATTACGCAACTGAATAAATAAGACAGTTATCAAATAGAAAAAAATAAAAATATTGGTGTGGATTAACGAAATCTACTGGTTACAATAAATGGGATTATGATGTTTTCGTATCGTATTGAACCTTTCATCAGTTGAATTTGATGGCACTTAATTTGCATGAAAGGTAATAAAAAATTGACTTTAAGTACTTTAAAAACTGCACTTCATTGTCAACAAGAAAAATTTCATTGATTTACAAGAAATTCACATAATAGTGTTGTTTATCTTCAATTATAAAGGTTTTTACGTTATAATCTATTATGAAAAAGAAGATCGTGCATATGACTTTCAACAAAGCCATAAAATTCGGAGTTCTTTTACTTTTTTAACCTATAGATTAGTAGTTTTCAACAGTGTAGATCAGATGTTTTAGCAAAGAAGAATAGTTGAATGTATTAATTGAATTATTTTTTCTCTTAGATTTTATCATTCCTCTTTTAAAAAAGAAACCGAGTAAGTTCTGTAATCATTGTTTTTCTACATCACTAAGTCTTGAAAACAATGCATTTATTTGAATGATCATTGATTGATTTGATGATTAGAAAAAAATGCAAATCATATTTCTCACTATTCTTCTTTCTTATTAATTCGATTTGTTTTTTAATAAAGAAGACATCAATTAGATATTACATTTCTTTTTTTTTCTTCCTGTTTGTTCACTTACAGTAGAGTGCAAAATAATTGTCGTTTGATATAAAAATTTTGTCGAGACCTGTTTCTTAAGTTTATGGGATGATCACCTTAAGACAGTTTCTGAACAATAGTCAATAGAATCAGTCATTTCACTAACATTATTTTAGAATTTGTTTTACTGTTTGTAGTATAGCCAATAAAATCTCTCATTTTTATTTCTTCATTCTTACCGACTGTGTGTGTCAGCGCTTTTATCAATGAGAAAAAAATTTGGCAAATGCTGGAACAATCTTCATACATGTGATTATGAAAAAGAAACACAAATGATAGAATACAAACATATTTTCATAGTTTCTTAATATTTGCTAAATAATAATCATAATTCGTGTATTTGTCTTCAAAAAATGATAAAAAACAATACTTCTTCGTAATGAAGATTTCAGTCAAGTAGAATTTGATGGACAACCAAGCATTTGGAACGTTACTGTCAGACGAGGTAAGATTTCAGTTAAGATCTTATCTGGAACATACCTATTTCTGAATGCAGTCGAAATTTCAGTATACACTAATCGAACTTTAGTTACACTCACTCAAAAGATTCAGTTGGAACAGGACACAAATAAAAGCCTTTCGCTTTCCTCCAATTTAACATGAAATGCTGCTCATATCCAAAGACCTGTTCATAACTATGCAGTATCTGCTAAAATTATAATCAGGATGTATCATTTTATAGAAAAAGTTTTAATGGCTAATATTTCTGTTGAACAAGTCGAGTTTTGGAACAATTCGACATTCTTTGTATCTTCAAGACAAGACGAAACAATTTTTATTCAATGGAACTTTGAAAAAAGTGGAATTGCTATTGCTAGTTATGATATTTACAGAGGCAAAGAAATATAGTCTGCCATTAATGATACTCATCTCTTGGTAACTATTCTGTCAACGTCTTCACATAGAAAAAATATCTACCAGTCGATGTATACAGATCACTCCGTTCACTTGGACAGAATATATACCTACCAACTAGTCGCTCGACACTTGATTAGAACAAGTATTGACAAAACGACACTTATAATTGGTCAAGCAGACTTGGGAGAACAGTATCATGATATTACGATACTTATTGCTTTTCCAAGAACAAATGATATCCATCTTAGTTGAGAAATTAAAGCAAGAAGTGCAGCTAAACGTATCACTCTTTACAATGATATCAATAGTATAACTAAAATTAGAAATCATGGAACTCAGCTTTTAGAAAGATATCCAGTATAATATATGAAAGCAATCATCTCATTATTCAACATCGATTCTTTTGTTCTAGCATCTGATGATGGAAAAGATGTGATGACTGCTAAACTCGCTAATCTTACTTATCTACGGATAGTCCTTACACCAACACATCTAAGTTTCATTCACGAGAAAATCAATCAACCATGACATGCACAAGAGGTTTTTAAAGAACTCACAAAAAGTATTTTCACCTATCAACCTGACAATTCTTTCAATTATTTCTGGCCTTTACGAGATACAGCTCTACCATATACTATCACAAAAAAATATTACTTATGCTCATATCACATATTTAGCATTAAATTCCAATAGAATAAATTATACAATATACGACAATTCTGCTATCAAACTATGATTCAGTCTTAGTACGATGGCTCGAACACAAGCTTTTGATTGGACTTATGAGGCTTGTACCATAGAACAATGATGAGAACTGATGAATGATTTTAAATATGCTGCATCTATATTTACATTTTAATTCGGTATAGTCGAAAGAATGATCAAATGAATTTTTCGAGAATTAACGAAGAGTTTTGATTTCGACAGATTTGAACATAGTTTATATGTTAAGACTTTTGTATTTCGCATTGATTATAAGAGGGCGAAATGAAAGTTGACTCTACAATTATCAAAATGACACGTACAACAATACAGAAGACGTACTAGGAATTATAAAATATGATTTCAGTGCAAACTTTAAGATCGCTACGGATCTTGGAAGGAGTACTGAACATGTTGCTAATTGAACAGCAGTCAGTATCAATATGGATGATGCTTGTGTCAATGTCAATGTCTTATTTCTAGGTTTACAGGTCAATTTCAATATTCACTCACTTCTCCTTTTTTTTTGTCTCACCTATTTAGTTTTTTGTTTATTTTTATTAGTAATGAACGAATATTCTAACATGAAAAACTTTTGTCATCATTTTAGTGTTGCAACTGGTAATGACAAACGGCTGGTCCTGTCCTGTCTGGTAGACATAAATTTTTCTGCACCAATCGGTCTAGATTTTTTTGCTTATCAAATCCGTTTTTATGATATCAATGGCTATTACTATAGAGAAAAATGAATTAGAATATTTCTGTCAAGTGAGTTTCCATCAAAATATGCTTTATTTTATTTTATCAAGTCACTTCAATATCATATTATCAAATCGAAACAAAACGGAATCACTGTTCGTCAGTGTAATTTTTTACATGGTTGTTTTCATTTTCTATTGTTTATGCCATATCTTTTGCAGAGACTAAAGAAATAGCAAAGTAAATCTACTAAGAGATTCAGAATTTCTACGTTCAACGAACTAGGGTGTGGGTCTGGATGTGGAGTACAAATGAGTGTAAATGTAGCTCTTCTGTTAACCAGCACCTACACCCAGTCTGACTGGTTTAATGTCTGTTACCGGAACCGGTAAGAAAAATCTCTACCGAGGCAACACTACAACATTTCATATTTCCTAATCTTAGTCACATATTTTCATTCATTATCGATTGATTATTTACAAATATATCTAAAATTTCAAATTTCAAAAAAGACGAATATGACTATTTATAATAAAATAATCACAGAAAAATGTTTTCAACAGGAAAATTTTTCGATGAAAAAAGTCTTGTGAAGAGATTGAAAAAATGAATTGAAATATCAACATATAGCTAATCTTCTATCAATTATGATGAGCTATTTGATCATATTTATTTTTAATCATATATTTCTTTTAGTGCCTAACAACAACAATGATAATGTCAACAGCTACTCCTGGCATTAAGGTGATCATTGAAATAAGTTCTTTCTTATTCTTCAATCAGTTGATAGATATATTACTTTGTTTAACAATCATCAATTATAATAATTTCTATTGCAAGTGTACTTTCTGGTTTAGCTGATCTTATTATAATTGGTATTTTGCTAAGAAAAAGAATAAACAGATAAATCTAAGATAATCTTAAATAATTCTATTAAAAACAAATTCAACATTGAAAAATTCGAGTTAGTTCAACATCAAAAATGAAAAAATTATAAGTTGAATTTATTTTTCCATATGACATATGGATAGAATGAATATTTCTTCAGAATGTTGATAAATTATCGCCGTTATCAATTCAAACGTTATCCAAAAATCACACTGTTAATCAATCAAATCTTAACATGAACTGATCATTTAAAAATAAACCTGCAGATATTTGTCATACTTATGATCAAAGACTTTCTTATTTCAGCACTGTTTTTGTCAGTTAAATAAAACGTGAAATTGAAGACCAAAGTTGTTGTAATAGATCATTCGAAAAAAATGAAGATGACACATTGTTTTTTCAAAAAAACTTCATAAAAAGTTTTATTTTGTATATGATACTTTTCGTCAGAACACTAAGCAAGCAATAAAAGAAATGAAATATAAATTCATGTTTCGTTTCAAAGATTTCTTTATTTTTGTTAGGTACGTGTTGAAATGAAAGAATTTAAAGAATACGTTATATTCACAAATTAAAATTTAAAAAGCGCGAAAAAGAAAGAAATTTTCTATTCATTCACTATTGAGTAACAAAGATATTTGATCGGTGTTTTATTTACTTCGCGTATAATAGAATTAATACCAACGATGTGGGACAATAAAGATTCCGATGAAGATGAACAACAAAATACAGGTCCAATGAGTCGTAAAATAACAGAAAAAGATCAAAATGATGGTAAAAAGGACCGCTGTCACTGTACTAAAGGATGTTTGAAACGTTCTTGTCCTTGCTTTAAATATGGTAGTGGATGTAATTCTTCCTGTGGATGTGGCTCGTCTTGTCAAAATATGTTCAATTATCTTGAATATTTCTTTAGTGAAAATCAAACATGTGCCGCCCACCCTTGTTTTTCCAAGTGGCTCGTTCAAAATGCTAAAAATGCAGATGGACTTCAAATGATAGAACGTAATGAGTTATGTCAACGTATCATGCAATCTGACGGGTAAATAATTCTTTTATCTAATTGCTTTTTCTCTCTATTTTTCTAGATTAATATTCATGTCATAAATAAATCTTTAGCTATTCAAACATATTTTATGATGAAGCATTCAAAGAATGGAAGAAAAAATGGGATCAAATCGAAAAAAATGAAGAATTATCTCATATTCAAAAATTATTTCGTATGCTTCTATCGGTTGAAGAAACCATGGATTATTATTATTCATTTTGTGAAAATGATGTATTAGAAGAGAATAGTCAATGGCATTGTATAATATGTCAAAAATGTGTCGATTGGAGAGAATGGCATTGTGGACAATGTAATAAATGTATGTATTCCATAAAAGAGGC